GGGGGGGGGGGGGGGGAGGGGTTCTTCAATGATGACACTTAATGGCAGGTTGGGTCGGGGGGTTCTGTCAATTATGACGTTATAAATATTGATGTTAACACATATGATTTTATCAGCGCGAAAAAAGAAACTTTCAGCCGTTGTACATAACAAGAAATGCGATTTTCATGCTACTGGTATGTGCAATGAAACTGGTATGTCAAATGAATAGCAAAAAAATAAGTATAGCCTTGAAGAGCACAAAATTACCTTCAATTTGGTATACTTAAAAGCTCTTCAAGTCTTTTAGAACAAAAGATATAGCTATTTGAAGTTTTACTGAAAATTCAAGTATCATGTCAACTGATCTATGAAAATGACAGATTTAATGCTTTAATTCTCAGTGAAATTTCAAACAGCTGTATCTTCGGTTCTAGAGGACTTACAGAGTTTTTAAATATACTGAATTAAAGGTAATGTTGTGCTCTTCAAGTTAACACAGTTCATTTTGAGGTTTGAGTTTGCCTAGCATGTGTAATATGTAAAGATCTAAGGCTATACTCTGCTTTAGGGGCCTTTTTTGCACGTTTTTCGATAAATATAAGCGTTTCCAGAGCGTAATAATGCTCAAATCATTATAAAAATTTACAAGAAAGTAGTTGACACATTTAAGAAGTATTCTTAAATAGTTTTGGAAAGGAAAGTCCGGATCATACTTGATTAGATTTAGTGTTTTTCGTTTTTTCTTGATTATTTCTATTATAGAAGCTTCCAGAGTGCTCAGATCACTTCAGGACCCATTTTTTCTGAAAAGTTAAACGATTTTCAACGAAAAAACTCCTATGCACTTTGACTTTTGAGTCATTCTACACTGACAAGGACACCACTCAAGCTCCGGTTCATGGATTTGCTCCAAAATTTTTTTGGGGTCTCCTGATACCCAATACTGAAGCTCTTTGTGCTTAGTTTGATCTCATGGACCTTAGGGCCCATTTTTTAGAGGATCTTCCACATTATAAATAAGTTTTTGTTATTATACGATATTGATATAACGATAAAAAACTTTAAAATTTTTCAAAGAATCTGCTTGAATTTTTTCATTGTTTTTGGGACCATCTATCACTTAATTCAAGAGGCCCAAATTTGACTCTTTTTTATAGATTTTAGGACTTCTCAAAAAGAGTGGTAGATGGTCCCAAAAATTATGAAAAAATTCAAGCAGATTCTTTGAAAAATTTTAAATTTTTTTATCGTTGCACTTTTTCGTTTAAGTACTTCTATATCGATATAGATAATAACAAAAATTTTTTTATAATGTGGAAAATCCTCTAAAAAATGGGCCCGAAGGCTCATAAGATCAAACTAAGCACACGGAACTTCAGTATTGGGTACCAGGAGACCCCAATAAAATTTTGGAGTAAATCCATGACCCGGAGCTGGGGTGGTGTCCTTGTAAGTCGAGACGAATCGTAAGGTTTTTAAATGTATGCAATAACTTTTTTTTTGTTACAGTACTACAGTATGGGAGTAGCAAAGCGAGATTAATAATAGTAAAAAGAAGATAGTTTTTAAGTCGCAATTTTTCACTTTTTTTTGTTTCTACGTTACTTACATTTTTTCAGCCTCATACACTTTTTTGCAATTTATTTGTTCATAATTTGTGAAAGAACAGAAT